GAATTTAATGAAAAAAATATTATTTCTGTTGTACATGATGGACTCTCATTAATTAACATGAAAACAGGAACAACAAATAATATAATTATAAATGAAACATCTTATTGTACTGATATGTACATTACTACTGGAAAAGTAGAATGCTTAAAATGTGGAGAAGGAAACCCAATTGAGGGAGATTGCCCAGAACGACCAATTGTTCTTAATTGCACTAAGTATTCAACAGCTGGGAATTGTGTTGAATGTAAAGAAGGATATTACTTAAAAGGTCAAACACTGAAATCTCAAAATTGTTTTCCATGTAATATCCATTGTAAAAAATGTAGTTCAGATAGTAAATGCTTATTATGTGAAGATGGATATAAAGTTGGGTTATCAAATTATTGTGAATTAGTTTCATCAGAGGTATGTCCAAATTATATTATGGGAATGTGCAGAAAGTGTCAAGATGGAAAATATAGTTCGGATGAACAAAGTTGTAATAAGTATTGTTCAGAACTCCATTCAGGGTGTGGAGTATGTAGCACAAATAATGGAGAGTGTTCAGTTTGTGATATTAATGATGGATATATGTTGTCTTCAGGACAGTGTGTTAAACAATCAAGTGCCTCTATTGTATCACCAAATGGTGTAGTTCAATGTAATGATGGATGGTTTAATGATGATGGAACATGCAAAGAATGTTCCAAAAATTTTGGTTCAGAATGTACAAAATGCACAGCAACAGAATGTCTTAGTTGTAGTAATTCATATATTATCAATTCGAATGGAATTTGTATTGATAAAACAGATTGTTCATTAGAAAAAGATTCAACTTGTTATAAATGTGTTTCTGGGAAATATTTTGATGGTTCTAGTTGTGTTAATTGTCCATTAAAATGTACAGAATGTTATAGTTCAACAAATTGTATTACATGTGAGAATGATAGTTATCTTGTAGATGGATTATGTACTCAACAAAACCAGAAAATCATGTATGATATCTGAGGGAAACTGTATTAAATGTAATGTGAGATATATCTATCTAATGGAGAATGTTTACCATGCAACTCTAACTGTTATGAATGTTTTGGTGATGAATCTTATTGTATTTCATGTAATGACAAATACACATTACAAAGAGATGGAACAAAATCAATATGTCAAAGTGATGATATTCTTAATGCTAAATGTACTCAAATGATGAAAGCAGGGACTGGGTGTGCTATTTGTAAAGATGGATTTTACAGAAAAGATGTTGATTGTCAAGAATGTATAAAGAATTGTACTAAATGTTTAGATGGAAATAGTTGTATTTCATGTGAAGACAATTTCTTTTTGTATAATGGAAGACAATGTATTTCATATGATATGTTAACTTCATGTAAAACTAAAACTCCAAATGGATGTACTTTATGTGAAGATGGGTATGTTCTTAAAACACCTTATTGTCAATCTTGTCTAGAAGTAACTGAACATTGTACATCATGTTCAACAATTTCTTGTTATTCATGTGAAGAAAATTATGTATTAATAGGAGATAAATGTGTACATTACAGAGCCATTGAACACTGCTCTAAATCTACTGACTCAAAATGTAGTAAATGTGATTTTTGGTATAGTGTTTCAACAAGTGGAACATATTGCCAGAAACAACCAGTAGTATGGTTTATAGTATTAATATGCATATTAGGAAGTATTATAGTTATTTTGATTATTGCAGGTGTTGTTGTATTGTCCTGGTATTTTATTAAGAAAACTAATCAAAATAAAAGGCCAGATAACGTTCATTATTTCTTTATGAAAGATTCAGATATAATTTTTGAACCATTAACAGGAAGAAGTTATGTTGTTACTGATAAAAAAGAACTCCATTTTGATAAAAATAAAGATGAGCTCATGATTCCAGTTGGAGAAGAAAGTACTGATACTATAAATGTTGGTAATGGTGGAAAATCAAAGTTAAAAGTACAGTTTACTGTGAAAGAAGATGATATGGCGAAGTTTCAAGTTAGAATTGAGCCAGAGATGGCCATATTAACAAAAGGAGAAGGGTGTGAATTTAAAATATCAATTAAACCAGTTTGTACGTGCAAAATTTCAGAGAGTATTCAATTAGTTTCTTTAGACTTCAAACAAGGAGTTATAGTTAATGAAGACGTGCTACTTATTACAGAAACACAAATGTCAACACGACTTGACTATGATGAATTGATTATGGAAAAGCAAATTGGGGAAGGGTCATTTGGAACTGTTTATAAAGGGATGTTTAGAGGAAATTCTGTTGCTATTAAAGTAATGAAAATTCCAGATGATGATGAACAAATGGAAGAATTTGAGAAAGAAGTACGTATGTTAGATAAATTTAGATCAGAATATATTGTACATTTTTATGGGGCTGTATTTATTCCAACAAAGATATGTATGGTGACTGAATTTGCAAAATTTGGATCATTAATGGGCATGATAAATAAGAAAAAGAAATAGAT